AAAGGTTTTTCCACCAGTACTCCATTTAACTTCATATGCTTGTGCACACATGTATCAAACAGGTTTTTTTATATATACACAAAGAAGTGGCTGTAACATCTGGCATGGCACAGGTATGCATTAACATATGAAGATATGCATACATTATGAACAAACGTAAACTAATTAGGCCTCCAATGATACAATCCATGCCATTAACACAAACAGAGCCCATGCCAGACTTTGTTTCCTAAAGCTAAATACGTGCCCAAAATGACACTGGAGAAATTGCTTTAATCTTAGGTAAAATGACAAGGAAAGTCATCAGTTGGTTTGCAAGGCCAAGGGGTGGGGACTATCCCAAGTCAACTCCATTTGAATCAAAAAAGATGCATGTTAACCGACAATATAAAACCAAGCATTCTATCAACATGCTTTGAGTGCTGTAAACCTGCTTGTTTGAATTTTAAAAGACAAGAATTTATCAGTTTCAGGATTTTTTGGTTCTACCTAAAGTAAAGAGGGATGAAATTTAACCTAAAGTTCCTTTCCAGCCTTATGTTTCATAATAACTGTTGAGAGCGCTCTGGTATGTTTTTAAAATGGATCACTACACCTGTGTATCTACAATTAGAAACCACAAATAAGCGCATGTTTTAAAATATCTGAAGTTTTACTTCCCTTAGAAATTAATGGGGGGAAAAAGCAAGAAATAAAATTATTAATGCCAGTGTGGTATACACAACCATATTTATTAGTTCACTTCCAATTACATAAAGAGAAACCTGAAACCATACACAAGTGCTGCTTTAAAATAAAGACAGACTACTGTTTTCTCCAACAGTTTTATTTCAAAAAGTACACAAGTCTGTCATGGAACTACAGCATTTTAAAATTTTGGATCTTGTTTTTACAAATTCACTCACAATACTTGTATTTTAAAATATCATTCCCCCAAAAGTGTGAATATAAAACCTCATACTGAAATTCGTATCAGTATTCAAGTCCATGCTTTGTGCATGAGAAGCGTAACGTAACATCGTAACATTTTGGATTCCAGGAAATATTATTGCTCCAATTTCAGTTGAGCTGTGCCTCAGTGCTAGAGGACCAATAACCAAAGGGTCCCGTAAAGCACCTATCAAGTGTATAAAACAAGGTTTAAGTGACACAAATAGTATTACGTCTTTAGACTGGAACAAAGATCTAAAGTGATCCAGAATATACACTGTTAAGAACAAAACCAAAAGCCTATCATGGAAATCAGTAATATACAATATTCAGCATTACAGAACAACTTGCAATTAAGAAGTCTTACTTGTACTATTAAGCAGGAAGCATACATCTAACATAAATGCGACTATCAGAGTTGATAGAGATGTATGCATCATACATTTCTTTCAAAAGACACGTTTTACCCCTCCAACAAGGCATTTCTGTGCACTACAGAGTTTTGGAAGAAGTATTCATTTTTAGGTAAGGAAGTTTCACACAAATATCTTTAAATATCCATTTCAGAAAGTTTATGAAAACGCTTGTAATGTATGGACAAGTGTTACGTAACCTCTACAGTATTACAAGTCTAACACTTTATTCACACCATGCTAAAATTGAGGTTTTTCTTCCATATATAGTAGTCCTCAACAGGCAAGTTTACAGTCATGACATTAACTAGAGGTTTCTTGAGTCCACTTAGAGTATTTACATAATAGTACCACCCCACCCCTCCCCACCCCCCCCTTTTTTTTTTTTAATGAAATGAGACATTAAAAATGCCACCTTCTAACCGGTATATCAGCTGCCATTACTTCCTAGAAGAGTTCTGTTAGCAGAGTTATCTGTAAGATCGGACACCTCACATGTTTAACCAGTTCATCTCCTACACAGCTAGAAATCATTGCTAAACTATAGTAGCTGCTTTTGAGAATCATAATCCAGTGTAAGCGAACAATCTACTGACTAAATAAATAATTTATAATAGCAGTATTATGTTTTCATAGTAATGTTGTATCCATTCAAAAAGGCATGATGATACCAACTTGAGGCAAAATTTACCCCAAGTCAGCTGTTCTTTATTTCAGATAAGGACTATGTCAGATTCTATTTCTTCTATTTTCCATGCAATTACATAAATAGACAGACACTGTCAAGGCTGCTAAGCCTAACAGCTAGGCTCTGAGGGCACATCACGCTGTCCTTCTGTTCTGTCCATTTATTATTTTGTACAAGCTGACAGAGCATTAAGTATGTGTAAACTCTGCTCTGTATGCCTTAGTGAGATAAGTTTCTGTTCTTGAGTGTCCTAGGGCTTACCTGACTGAAAGCACAGGGTCTCAGGCCAAACCAAAAAAAAAAAACCACCAAACCACCCAAAACCAACCAACCAAACAAAAAAAACACATGAAAAAACACACCAAAAGCTAACAAACAAAAACCAAAACGCACATCTAATCTCACATATGTCCACAGCTGGCTAAGAACCAAATTCAGTAGGTTTGTTGCCTGGTTGCTTAGGTTTATAGCTATCTCTCAGTCTGTGATGCAGTTTCGTTTTGTACTCCACTTGTATTTATAATAACTATACCCTTTTAATTAAGGAAGGCCTTAGTTTCAAGGTAAACAATCAGTGTATGATTAAAATCTCGGAAGTCTCTTCTATCACAATAATTGGATGCAAGAAGATGTCTCCTCATCTGTTGTTCTTCATAAGCATATGTTTGGCACAGTTACTAAACCTATTATTTACCACACAAGTAAAAGTCAATTGTCCATCTCACTGGTACAACAACTGAACAGTTTTCAGGAATATAAACGCTTAGATCATAATTAGCAATTGAAGGAGTAACTGACATTTTGAAATACAGAACAATACAGAGAGAGCCACTGAGGTCACATCCAAAAATAGGCATGAAGAGGTATAAATAGTACATAGGAATCAAGAAATCAAGATCACAGTGTCGTGTTTTAAGAACTGTACCATCACCTAAGCACCTGTTCAAACAGTAAATTTAGGCACCGGAAATTTCATAAAAACTGAAGTTACAATCAGGCAAAGTTTATTGAAAAGGCACACATGAAAGATAAAAAAACCTGATCTCTAACAGTATCAGTTTACAATCTAAAAAAGTCCCTAATGTAAAACTAAGTCTAGAATACTTAATATCCATTCAAGTTTCTAAATTCAGTATGAAGGGTATGTTCTTTACATTAATAGTGCCAGTCAAAAATTGTGCACCTAACTACAGATAGGACAAACATTTAGTAGTAAAGTAGTAAGCTGAAGAATTTATCACAGATCTATAAGCAGCTACAAAAAAGCAGATGCTAAACCTAGAAGTTTGGGGAAATGTTTTTTCTCACACTGTTGCTACATACAAATAATCCTAACATCTTTCAACAGGCTATTCAGGTATTTCCTTCATCAACATCAGTGCCACATACTATATGCCTTTAGAGTTTTCCAAAATACCTTGCAGTTTAACACCTATAGCTAGAACAAACTGAAGGGACTCCCCCTCCCACACAGGATGAGGAAGAAAGTAGAAAACAGGAAGAAAGAAAAAAATCCACAGAGATTCAAACTGCACTAAGCTTTAAATCCAGCTTCCACAGGTATATAATATCAGTCATCAGAAGCTATCAAAAGTCCTTAAGCGTGTGTGAAAGTAAGATAAGGAATTGTTCTGCTCGACCTGTAATGCTTTAAGTTTGCAAAACTGGGAAGAAGGGGTTTTAATTTTGAAACATGAGATTTGTATCAACAATTCTGGGTAACTATTTCCTCTCAGATTCTGGTTGCATGAAACTTGCTCTTAGAAGTCTAAACGTCTGTTAATAAGAATATTTAGGGCTGTTGAAGAAACAAGGAGAAATGAGCTTTAAACTCCTTGCAAATTCATACAGAAAGGTATTAGCATCTTAAGTAAAAGCTAACTACTGCCTACATGCATATGGGAAAAGATGTTTCCAAAGTGATGTTAGAGCAAGAGGACAGATACCAAATGCCAGTTACTGAACAGCTTTCATTAAAACCCCATGGAGCTTCTAGGTAATTGGTTTGGAAAGAAGAGTACTGCCTCAGAATCTAAACAGGCTTTGGAAAATGCAAGGTACAATTAACTTCAGACCTGTATAGAGATACGTAGTTATTCTTACTGTGACAGTAAGAGTTGACCTATAGTTTTTAAAGCTTAGATACCACTACCAACAACACGATAGGGCCTCTTGCATCAGATAACATAAGTATTAAAGTTATCTGACATGACTAGAACTAGTTATTACAGAAAAAATCACGTTTCAAAGAGCTTGCAAGGTCTCCTGTCACATTTCCACTCACTGAAATTTTAAATTCAGAATAGATTCATTAAATTAATTGAACCAATCAAACAACTGGTAGCCCCTGAAATAAGAGCTCAAGAAGTGCTCCAAACAAACATTACCAAGTTAAAGAACTGCATAAATACTCAGAGTTTGAACAGAATTCAAAGTCGTCCTCAGTATTTCAGCCCCCTGTGCAACTACATCAGACAGTGGCCAAATTAAAATATTTCTGGTATTCCAAAATTGAGGATAAAATTTCAGGAACTCTGAGAAACTTCATGGTCTACATATGAATGCTTTTGTTACTTCTCACTTGTGTCTCGCTGTTACATATTCAGAACTGCACATCAGCTGACAGTGTCTCTTCAGCAACCGACCAGAGGTCCAAATACCTGCAGTGTCCGATATTTATTTAGGAACTCCAATGCTTTTAGCAAATAGTTCGACTGTCATATACTAAGTTTAAAATTAAAAATAAGAATTGGTGGCTTTTCAAACTAACTTGTTCATTTTCTGCAAGGAAAATTGCATGCCATTGTTTAAATGAGGGATGGAACACAGTAGTTTTCTCTAATACTTACAACGAACACTTAAAAAACAGCATTTAAATTAATAATATTTTATACTATGGACCCATCTTTGCTTTGTGCTGGAATCATCACAGGAACAGCTCCCATTCTACTTAAATTAGGTGCAGCTACCTTTGAAGGTGCAAAGGTTGGGTTTTGACCAGGAGTACGTTCAAAGTCTTCACTTGGGACTTGGCTATATGAAGTTTTGGTATATCCTTCCATATTTGAGGGAGACATTGAACCCAGAGAAGAACGATTGCTGCCTATGTAGCTGCGGGCTGTTGAACTGCGACTTTTTGGAGGTGGAACATCTTCCCTGACATAAACAAAAAAACAGTTGCAGAACAAGAATTCAGTCACTGTTACTACGTGGAAGCTTACAAAACAAATTTTCAGTTTGTTTCTTTCTATTCTGACACAGTAGCCAAAAGAGGCTCACATATTACTTTAAGTTAAAAAAAATTTCAAGTATTCATTGCCTTTAAAATCTTTACTGAAATTAGACATGACTACACCATATTCAAAACAAAAAGTTCTCTGACAAGCTGTTAGCATGTTAATAAGCTTTCCAGATTAAGACAGAAATCACAACTTAAGAATCTTACTTGCAGAAATACACATTTAAAAGTTAATCTGCAAATAATACTGCTCAGAAATTAGAGATATGTCATTACCTGATATCATGATGTACTTCTTTCTCATATTTCTTCTCTCTATGTTTCTTACAGCAACAGAAGACAAGAATAACCAGTACAGAAACACCCAGCAGAGTTCCTATAATAGCTCCAGCAATTATACCAGCTGTATTTATAGCTAGAACAGATAAATAACAATACTGTTTGTTAAGTGTCAAATTTATACAACCGACTTCTTTTCTCTCAACTCAACATTAAAAACAGCATGTTTCCACGTGATCCAGGTTAACAGTGTATCACTGAATCACAGAGATAATGCTTCAATCACATGCATTTAAAACAATAATAAGAGTTACAGATTTCTGCATAAAAAGCAATATTTTGGGAAGTAAAGACTTGGAAGTGGCAACCATCAGTTACACAACAGCGTTGGGTTTTTTAACCTTTTAGGAGTTTAGAGAATCAAGATTATTCAGTTTTAATACACAAAACACTATATGACCATTACACAGAAAACACTTACGTGGGGTGACATTCAGCTCAACAGAACATTCATCCGTGCCAACTCTGTTTGAGGCAACACAATTGTATGTACCAGAATAGTCTTGAGAGGCATTTTTCAAAAGAAGTTCCCCTGTATTTTTATCTACAAACAACAAAAGATAAAGGTTTACCACTTTCCAAAGTTTAATTCCATATTCAATACTACATAATTATTAGTCCAGCACATAAATGAAATCTTAACTAAAAAATGTCGTATTAAAAATACCCAAATAAAAACAAAAGTCTATCGCACTACAAAATACTGTTATTTGTAAAAGCTTTTTACCTTGTTAGAAATTTATTCCTCGGCATTTGATTTTAATATTAAGCCTACAGACAGAAAGGAACAGATGCTTAAGGGGCAAATTCTCTCATCCTAACACAGAATTCTAAAATACAAGATTAACTGCATCCCAGAAATACCTCCTCCTCTTCTGTCTGTCTAAACCAATTCTGCACAACCAGCTCAGATGCCTGCAGAACCTATGTTCAACATGAGGTGGATCTAACCTAAACACTGCACTCCAGTGGGTGACCAACTAAGTCTAGCTATGCTGACAGAGTAGGAGACATGAATCAGTGAAAACAAGAAGAGTATTTCCCGTATGAGGAAGAACCACGCAAGTTCTTAACTCCCTCTCCCCTAGACATTCACTTTGGCTACTTTTAGAAACAAGACCACTTTGTCCTTTATGTCCTGCACAACCCGAGTTAAAATATGTCTATTTCTAAGCAGATTCTTAAACTGCTTCATCTGCAAGGAAAACGCACTATCTCAAGGTTTAAGGTTTTCATAACTACAAAGAAGATCAAAATGAATTGGTACTGAGCAGTACTTTTCCAAAAAAATATTCTGAAGTAACTTTCACAAAGCCAAAACTCACAAATTAACCTTCTACAATTAAGTTCTCACAATAAAAATCCAATACCACCACTATAATAATTTGGGATCCATCAGTCAAAATTCGTAACATATAACCCTTTCCTGGATGCTAGCTCTTGTAAGAAGAGGTAAGACTTCTCTTCTTTACTCTGGATAGCTTTTCTTCTAAAGACTTGCACCCCTTTTTAAGGAAGAAGTTCTGTCACTTGATCAGAAAGTAAAGACCTCAATTCAATCTCTAATAAAATTCAAGCTTTTTATCTCCACTTCCCTGAAGGCAGCTCTAACGACTGGTCTAGTCTCTGTTCTGACTCTTCCCCACCATCCACCTGCGCACAAAAGCAGCCAACATCACCAAGCAAAAGAACTCACAACACTCATGCACAAACGAGCATGATTCTGCAGCCTAATGGTAAGAATCTCAACTTAAAGCTTGAAACATTTCCCACTATGAATAAAAAAAAAAACAAACAAAAAAACCCAACTTGTTTCAAAGTCAGTTTTACTATCAAGTGAGAGGGTAGAAGTGACCCTTATCTTGACTGCTCTATACTAAAATTAAGGATGAGATGCTCGCAAGTCAAGATAAGCCAAAAATACAAATGCAATCTTTCTTAAGTATTTCAGAATAAATAAAGTTTGACAGTACTCGGTATGGAAGTGGCAGGAAGTTCCTGTGTGCCAGATACTCTTCTCCAGTCATAAGACAACAGTGGGGATCCTTCTTGTGATGCACATTTCAAGATAACGTCTTTTCCGATCTCCTGTGATCCTTCAATGGAACATTTAGTTCTTGCTGGCTTTACTAATAAACAAAGTATTATTGAATTAATAATAGCCACAATAAAAGTGCTTACTAGTTGTGTTCTAGTAGGCCAGTCCATTTTGCTAAAGGCAAAGCTTGTGCAACAAACCATTTCTATGCATGGGAAGATTTTCTATGAAATACAAGCCACGTGTAGAATTTTTTTAAATGCTCATTATTCTGAATATTATTCCCTTCATCCCCCAGAAGAGAATGATGTCCACCCCCCACAAAGTCTCAATAATGGGTGCATCATCATAGATTCATTACGGCTTTGCCTGACAGAAGTTTTAATTTTATATATCAAATATAGGATGGAATAAACACATAAAAAGTGTCACTGAAAATTCAAGAAAAACCTTATCTTACCAAGTACAGTCAACTGTATTTTTTGGCTTTGAACTCCAGGAGCCTTCTTCACTTTGCACTGGTATGTGCCAGTGTCTGCTGACTTTAAATTCAGGATATCCAATGAACCATCACCAGATCTAGGATCAGGATTAGTAAACTGCATCCGCCCAGTCATAGCAGCATAATAATGATTATAAATCCTGTCTACAGCATACATAATTATCTATGAAAAAAGAAATATGATTCAGAAATCCACTTGGCATTTAAACGTTCAAAATAATTTGGTATCTTCAGATTCTTGACAGTTTCTTTCTACTGTTTCAAATAATCCCAGAGGCATGACATAGCCAATATCTCAATCTTCAAAATATCACACACAGTACTCTAATGAACACTCCAACCAAACACCTGTCCAAGTAGCAGCATGCCAGCATTGACTTCTAACTGAAAGAAAACTGTCTAAAATTCCTCTAACTTTCATTCTGTAAAACCTCTCTACGAAAAGGAGTCATCTTTCTGATAAGGCTTTAGAAGAAAGGAAAGAGTTAATAACTAATGAAAAGAGTTAATACATTTAAAATCAAATTCCCATGAATCAGTTTTCAATCAGGAAAATATTGCAGGTACAAAAGCATAATTTATTTTCTGTAACTGAAGCATTTTTAATTTTACAGTTCTCCTTTAGAAGACAAGTTTATAGTGAGAAATTTCTTCACACAATCTGCTATACCAAAACTTTCACTATATTTCATATGACTAAAAAAAAAAAATAATTTAAGATCACAAGCGATCACAAGCAATCCCAACCTGAAAAGGTGGAAGTTTAAAAAGTCAGTAACAAAGTTCATACATTGACCTACTCAAACAAGTGAATTAACACTGTCCAAAAAAAGTAGAGACTTACTATTTGTTCCTTCTTTTGATTATCTGCTGGTATCAATACCCACTCAATATCTAGCGGGCCTTCATCTTCTTCTGAGAGTACAAAAGTACATGGCAACGTAACTTTCTCTCCTTGTGCTTTTTCAAACATTGATTGGTCAACTGAAGTTATGCTTAGGCTTCTTGTTAGACCTATAAAAATATATTTTTGTTTTAAAAACACTTCACATGTAGTTTTCACTGTAAGTGTTCTATTATATATTGGTATATAGTCAAATCCATCATATACTTTTCCTGTATAGAAATCACGTCCTTAGTCAGACTTGTCACCACTTAAGAGATCCTGTGCAGTACGTTACTGAACACAATGCAAAGTCATGTACTGTTCATTTGGAATCATATCCAACAGGCAGTGATATCTTTCAAACCATACGATTTTTTTGGTACAATTCAAGTCCCATACGAAGCTAAATAAATCAAAATTTTCAGCAGCAGGTTTTTCAAGTTATTAGAAAAAAATCACCCTACAACTACTCCCTCATTGGTAAAATGAGAGCATGGAACAGTGATGAAGTCTGCCAGGATGGACAGAATTGTGAAGTCTTGGGTTAGATCAAGTTAAGTTACTCTGTCTTGTGGTATAAGGGCTGTTCTATCTACAGGGAGTAAACAAATGAATCCTTTCCAAAAATCTCAATGAGTTTTTAGATTTGTTCGCCCTTTCTGCTTGTCTTACTCCTCAAAAAAAGACTCTGTAATCCTTATCTGTGTGCCTCTAAGCAAAACATGTTTCCAAACAACAAATTTTCCTCAATTCAACCCTGAAAAAGAACCTATGCAGTGACTCAGACAGACTTGCTCAAAAGGCCTGAAGCAAGATTCCCCGTTTTTTACAACAAACATAGGCTTCCCTCGAGTGTATAGACCCATACACCGCAATCAGGAAGTGGAAAGCTCCATTTGCTCATTACAGAAACAGGCTTGGCATTTGTACATCCACTGTTTTGTCCACCTTGCCGGATATCAAGCTCAGATTTTCACAGTCATTTTATGTGTGTAGGTTGCTGCCCATCATAGTTAGACAGTCACACAGATGTTACCACAGCCACAACAGATGCAAGGCCACAAGAGTGGCCAGTGTGAAGAAGATAGATCGTTTTGGTGCATCTGTAGAATCGTAGCCTCAGATGAAATAATATTAAAAATTATTATAAACAGTGCATTTAAGCTCTAACCTGTGCTTCTACGCTAGCTTAAGTTATTATCTAACTTGCACTTCTCCGTATAGTAGAGAAGCTCTAGTGCATTTCTGCAGTAGATCAGACTGCAACAGCTATCCTTCTACCTTACTAGAATTTTCCTCTGCATCAAATCTTTGGATTCTTTTCCTGATGTTAAAACAAAGGGATCTTTAACAGGTATTTTAAAAAAAAAAAAATTATTCAGAAAGAAAAAGCACCTGACATACTAAATTCCAGACAAAAGCCTCCAAGAAAAGACCTTCACAATTGTTAATAACACACAGTTACAAATTAGGTAGGCTTATATTGTTTCCTGCCATTCACGGTATTACTTTGCATGGCAATACCTTCATTCCAGGAAAAAAGCAAGAAACATCAATCTGAGGTACAAAAGAGATTTAGGTGCAATGTTTCTTACCAACCCATGTACATCTTTTCAAAGGTAATTCTAACAGGTTTGTATCACCTCTTTTTTGACCACAGTAAACATATCTGAGCAACCAATTCTCTGCTACTATGTTGAATTAATACTATTTCCTAATGCTACTGATCTCTACGATGCTGGTTGACTTGCCAGAGATGCTATCCCCTTCTAAAGGATCCTTCCAGATTTCCACGTGAAAACTAGCCATTCTAAATCTTTTTAAAAGGTCATTTGACAAGTGAAATATATTACAGTATAATACTTAAGTTTGGTCAGCTTTGCATAAACACAGACAGTATTACTACTAGCCATCTCTAGAAATGGGTAGATTCAGAGTATATTCGTGTTTCCATAAAACACAGCAGCAAAGAATGCAAATTCCTGATCTGGTTTTCAGTGACTTCCATACTCTTCTGCTCCCCTCTCCCCCACTGCCTCATTAGGGAACTGTAATACAATATTCTCAAGTTCATCTCCAAATTGCATTTCTGCATTTTCATTTTACTGTATTAAAGGAGTGAGATGGGATGTCAAGTACAGTTTAGTGACTGATGATGAAATACATTACGATGTTACTTCCTTAAAAGCCTCAAATCTGTAACCCTGGAAATTAAAAGCTTTCATTCTGAAGTAACCTATTCACTGACGCAGTATTTCTGCTCTGTGACAGCATCTCCAGTAACAGTTACTTTGTCATTTGAAGTTCCACAACAGATGACCACAGAACATATATTTGCTTTCCCCTCCCTGGAGGGGACCTGCTGAGGATTTCAGAAAGCGTTCAGTAATTCAAGTTAAGAGACCAAAGTACTCAGTGTCGACTCTGCTTGGAGCAGAAGGCTGGATGACTGAGGTCACGTCCAACACAAACAACTCCGTAACTGCATTAAAGATCTATATGAAGCCGATGCACATGGTGACAAGATGACATTTTCTCCAAGCTTTCCCAAGCCTCACCTCCTTCAGTTTCCACTCAAATCAGGAAGATTCAACTTCTTTTCACTACCCCAGTATGCTCCTCAAAACAGGAGTGGATCAACTGTGGCATCTAACTGCTAGTACGTGACAGGCAGACATTTTATCAAGCTGAGTGAAGATCTGTATTTGTTTTGGTTAGCAGGGTTTCATGGATAAAATTTCAGACCTTTTTCAGACTTGTTTTAACACACCAGAAAGATGAGGGTTCCTCAAGTCAGTTATCCCACTTATTCAAAGATGCTTAGCATTAAAAAAACTAATTTTTAATTGCAGCAAACAAATCACTGCAAAGCTTAGACTCAGAAGCATGCAACAGATTCTCAAAAAACAACTGAAAACTATCACCATAGAAGTGCAATTGGTCCAAACGCATGTATATTGTTCTCCAAATATTTTGGAAGGAGAACACATGCCATATTCAGTTGGCGCAAACATAAGAATGAACCTTTGTGACTGGGTGAGAAGAGACAAGTACCATTCCTCGATGCAGAATAGTAAATATTATCCCTTGTAAAAGTTTGCATCAGAAGAAGGTAAGAGGTCAATACACATTTTGGACCCTGAGCATTCAGATTTAAGTTTCTTAATGTGGAATAAAATACTCTTTTCTCTGGGAAATTGACCCTAAAGAGCATTGCAAACTATATCTGCATGACTAAACAAGTTTTTCACATGATTTATGAAGGGGTGCAAACCCGTATACAATCTTTAGAGAAACTGTATTTCCTTCTGAATATCTGGACATACCTCCAAACGCCACTCAAGTAGAACACAGCTTAGCAAACTACATTATTAATATTTTTAAGAATAATCTAGGAAAAATTAAATGTTTGATAGAATTTGATGGAAACTATTTTCTACTATTAAAAAATCTTCAACACAGAAAGCAGACAAAAAATTAAAATAGAGCAAAGCTTTCTCCATTCCAACACAGATACAAACAGAGCTGTGATATATACTAACAAATAACAGAAAGCAAATTTTCATTAGATTAATTACTTAGGCATTTATTTTCTTAAATAAGAAAATAAGTTTTCTTATTTAAAGTTTAAAAAGTTAAAAATTCAGGATACACTGAAATTCTAGATTGCTGGTTTACGCATATTTAAGTGTAAATTTAAACTTGGCAAAATTGTTTCTGGCATCAGATAGGGCTGCATTACAGAAGTGTTACTAACCCGATAGACACAGTCCCTCCCTAAATGGGTAACAGGAGAGGAACACAATCAGCTGGAACAGCAAAAGGTATGGCAGCTGACATACACCAAGGGGGCAGGAGTAGGTGAGATGCACCACGAAGGCAGGACTGCCGCCAGGTTCAAACTGATGCCTGAAATGGCAATCACTAAGGAGCACAACTGCAAAGACGCACAGACTGCTTCTACATGGGGTAAGAGTTGAGTTCAGAGATGTTGCTGTACTTAAGGCCATACGTGACTCATCTGCAATCTGCATTTGCACAGTACTTCAACCTTACTAGCAGGCTCTCCAAAAAACATCTTGTTTGCCAGTACCTGCTTGTAGACAAGGAATGGCTGTAAATACATAAATGGTTTTCTTCACAGAATGAGGCCTTAAGAAGTAAGTAACAATGACAACCAGAAAGGTGTGTTGGTGCTTTGAGAGATACAAGCTATAAAATTCACTTAAGAGATGCTTCAGCTTAGACTCTTCTTTCAAATACAGATTATAGATGTAGCTGCGATCAAATCTGTTCACTTGACAGACTTCAGTCTCAAGAACCAACTCCCCACCATCCTCATTTTACTTCTGAATATGCCTCTCATCCACAGTTAATCTCCTACTTTTTTCAGCTAGCTCTAATGATATTATAAAGCAAAGTTACCCAACTCTCCCCTTCCCCACCTCCACTCAGACATAAGTTCTACAGCGTCTTATTTCAAAACTGCATTTCTGAAATAAGGCCCTGCAGAACTGAGGGAGTCAACTTAAATTTACACCCTTGGCAAACAGGGAGTACACACCAAGACAGGAGCACACTGAGGAGTGCCTAGCTGAGGGAGACTGCTCAGTGTTTACTGGCACAAACATTAAGTCTCCTTCATGGCTGAAATCCCCACAAGAAGCCACCATCTCACAATCTTCTCCTGCTTCCTCACTACACAAAACTTCAGTATCCTCAAGTGATGCCAAAACAAGCCTCTGCAAGGCAGTGTGCTTCTAATGATGCAAGCGGATTAAAAGTTGCCTTTGCAAAAGTAAAGGGAAAAGAGTATTTGACATTACTCATTTTAGTGATTTTTATAGCACCCAGGGGCTGAGTCACATCAGCACAGCCAAGACGGCCACAAGCTGCAGAGTTTGCTTGTGCTGTTATGCCACAGTTTATCATAACTGACTGCACCACAAACTGAATCCTAGCTTTACCACTGGGACCGGCCGGGCCCAGAGAGTTGTAGTGAATGGAGTTCAATCCAGTTGGTGGCCGGTCACGAGCGGTGTTCCCCAGGGCTCAGTTTTGGGGCTGATCTTGTTCAATATCTTTATCAATGATCTGGATGAGGGGATCGAGTGCACCCTCAGT